GATGCGACAATAATCGGTTGCTCCAGGACAGCAACAGAACAGCCAGTAAGGGGACCGACTGGAGACAACGGGAATACAGACAACAGGCGATAAGGACGCTAACAGGTGTATATGTACCAGACGTGGCACGGGTACGAATTGAAGAGAAATGGACACACAGCCACGGATTTTGGGTTTAGTCTGCTTGGCTAGGGCCAAAATCCGCGTCCTATGCAGCGTCGAAAAGTTAGTGATCATTTGTCGATACTCCTTTCTTGACGGAGGCACACGTGTGCAAATGATCAAGCGAGATCACGGGCACGTAAGTTGCGATGAAATAGAAGTCGTGTGAGCGTCACGACAGTGCTCCAGCTCTCGCTCCATGGGAGGTCGGAGGCGTTTCGTAGCTATTGAGCGTTGCTATGTCGTGTGCCTTCTTCAGAGACTACTTCTGCTCCTTTTTTCCCGTGCAGACGTTTGCTGCTGTTTGGAACATGTTTTCACGACAGCTCGCTCAACCTGAAAAGGGTGAGCTGATCTGCATCCCGTGCAGACGTTTGCTGCTGTTTGGAACATGTTTTCACGACAGCTCGCTCAACCTGAAAAGGGTGAGCTGACTGCAGTGAACAATGCTGTTGTTATTGGTAGGCTTCCTGTACCACTTTGTGTGAAGTATGCCGCTCTGGTACTATACGTGGACCTTCAAAGATGGGACTCAATTTTTAAAGGGTTTTTCACAAGTCAGTTTTATGTGCTCAGATTGCGCATTGAGCAGAGAAGGACATACCCATCTGTTCTTGCGTTGCACAAATTATAAAGCAGTCATCGCTATAACGGCAATAAAGCATTGGAGACGGCTTATGCCATTAACACCTTGACGACAGCGCGGCAACTATGTATGCCGCCATTTTTGCACCTCATGGACATTGTGGCAACTATGTATGCCACACCAGTTACATTTATTTTTTGCGCACATGCCGATTTCTTCCCAGGTTTTTTGTGTTCATTTTATAGGTCATACATCAACATAACCAAGAACCACGTGGCTTACAGAATGACCAAATATTCTTTAGTTTGGCAGAGGTTTTCCGGACCGACGAAAATATCCGTTCAGTTCATTCCTCATTTTCTTTTCATTAACGTAACATGTAATAAAAAGGAATATAGAAGTGAATACAAAACAAGTCGTGTGGCAAGATATGTGTTTTTACTTAAAGGAGGATTGCACGGAAAGAACGAAGGTCGAAGAAGGGAGAAATCGCCTAGTGGGGAGAGCGGTGAATCTCTTGAGGGTGCGGACAGACACGCAATCGGCATCGAAAGATTTGACCTCGGCGATCTAGCATGGCTCAAAGTTGGCGAGTTCGGCGATCTCCGCCCACCGATCATCTGATCACTCGCCGTAGTTCAATACGTGGCGAGTGATTAGATAGCTGAGAGAGCGTAGTGTTGAAGAGGGCACAGCGATGAGTCGCATCAATGCTCAAATCAACGGGCAAGGAAGGGGTCCCATTTCTCGGGTTCTGGGCCGTTTCTCATGGTTTCGCCTTCTTTCGTGTACCACTCACCATCCTACCTTAATTTGGAAATGGGTTGCTTTTCCATCGTAAATTCGTCCTTTAATACGTCCAAATTAATTCTGAAGTCACTAAAGGGAAGGTAAGTAAAACTTTTCATGGCCTTAACACATCATTTCGGTCGAACTTCCATTACTGTAACTCCCGATAAGTTAGACAGATCGAACACTATTGAAAACATTCATCGCATATAAGTATTGCAGCTCAAAATCCATGGATTTGGTGTGCGGCGGCGGCGCTCGCAAAATCGCTCTGGTCCCACGCGGTGCAAAAACCCAAAACGCGCGATGTCGTCAACGTGTTAACACATTGCAGCCCGCGTGCATCGCCGGGTATGCACGTCGAAACTCCCACATCTGACATTTGTGCATCGCCCGGTATGCACATTGATTTTAAGCTCCCCTTATATCTTTTTTCATTACTTCTGTGACTATAGAAGTTCCACTAGTGCCTTGAATCCACTAAACACATGGCTCAATTTCAAGGAACTTTTGGAACTTCAATTTGCACAACCAGTGCCTCAGTTTGAACCCTCATAAACTGTTTAACAATAAACTTCAATGGCTACTAATTACTGAATATATTTTCTGATGAGAAGCCGAGCAAAAAATAGTAAGAAGCGAAAGAAAAAAAAACGAGAAAAAGTAGAACAAAGAAAGGACAAAAGCAATACGTTGCCAGCCCAATGGGGAGGTTGCAGTTGAGATTGTGTGGGTCCTGTGGCGAAATACATGGGTCTTGTAGCGAGATATATGGGTCCTGTAGAGAAATTCCACAAAATGTCCCGAATGTGAGATTTGTGCATCGCCGGGTATGCACGCAGTAATGCAGCTATGCCACATGTGTGACATGCCCGAATCAGTGCGGGCGTCAATGTGTTAAGGAACATTACATTGTCTCCTACATAGGGAATGTTTCGTCTCAGCTGCTGCCGGGAGGTAACTTTGGCGAAAAAAATATTCAGAGACGCAAGCGACGCGTTGTCATTGTGCAGCTCGCAGTGTAACGGCAAGGGCCATTCGTTATCGAAGGACTCTGCCTCTCGGTAAATTCATTTTGGGATTCCTAGTGAAGACGCAAACGCTTTCATGATTTTTCTCCGAGAAATTTCAGTCTAAGCTAACTCATAAGACTTGACGAGCTAACCTGCACATTTACAACAAACATGGATTATTTGAACCAAGAGCGAAGATTGCGGAAGCCAGATAGAGATCAAAGTAGTTGTCCTCAGAAAAGATATTTCGGACTTCCAAGGAATTTGATAATGGTTCCTACAGTGATATCAGGACGATCCATAAGTACACAAAGTCCCACATCAGGATTCACTTGAATAATTTTTTGATAGGGTTGATAGAACTGTTCAAAAAGGTCGCAGATGTCCCCTTCCTAACTATAGAGCGCACAAAAAGTTACAGGATCTTGCAAAGATGTCTCATGCGTTTGCATTTTACCTCGTTAGCAGGGTGCTGGTGTCTGCGACTCATCACCCGTCGTGCAACGAGCGAAGCCTTCTTCTGCGAGTTTTCAGTGGCCGAACACCATGGAAGAGTTCTCTTCAGCAACGACAGCATGCGTTGTGCCCTTCCTTGGACTATTTGAGTTTTGGTAGAGTTGCGGTTTTAACCTCACAGCCAGAACCACAACTCTACCGAAATCGGAACTCTGGTTTAGGGATACTGCTTTCGGATTGCTAAATCAGCAAGGTATAGTTTTGGATACCGTTTTGTTATATACAGAGAAGCAATGAACACCATCGTGAACAGCTCCCGAGATTGTTTCAGCAGGGCACCCTTCAGAATCTCAAATAATCGCCTTTCATCGGATGGACGCTTGCTCAAAAATTGAAAAGCCAATCGTCACAGTCTTTGAGAGTTGAGCATGACTAAGATACTGCCTCCACCATATAGCCGTAGCCTTGCTCCATCGCCTCCTTTACGCACGTAATCAGCAAATGGGTAAAAAGTTAAAGAATTTGACCATCTCAGAAATGACCTCTGAAAATTCTTCGATCCCCTTCTTCGCTCATTGTGCGAGGAAGGAATCCAAACAGTACCTAGCAAGTGCATATCAGTGACTATATTGATGGTTATTTTGTTCATCACTTGTTTCCCAAATAGATAAAACTTGAGTAAATGGAAGCTTCGAAAACGGACATGAAATAGTCTACCAACACCTCGTCCAATCTGAACTTGAAGATTCCACAGCCGATGCATTGAAAACCTGGTGAAACGTTCAGAAGCTTGTGACACCATACATTCACTGTACAAGACACCCTTTTTGTGCGCACGCATCTCCTCCACGTTGACTTCACAAGTGTGTGAGCACGCACAGCAGAAGGCCTTGAGCATTCGCATTGAAATGAAGATGATGGCGGTTGCCGGGGACAAAACTAATAGGCAAAAAGTAGGAATGGCGCCACCATTAGAAAGCCAAAAATTACAGCATGATCGAGCTGGCTGCGCATATCAAAGTTGAGAATAAGTTGCTAATCGAGAAGCTAATCGACTCGAAGCTGAGACCTGGTCCCAATCTCGGGAAGAGTTCGAGTGCATGCCTGAAATAGCGAACGGATATCAACTTAGGCAAATGTTTTGAAGCGTCGCGAAAAGGCAGAATGTTCCTTTCAAAACGCTTTACTGCATATTATAGTGGCGCCTGCTTGGATCATGAAACTGATTATAACTATATCTAAGCGGCCTTGTGTTTGCCAGGAAAAGGGCAAAACCCTTCTCTCACAAAATAAAGCTATTGCAGTCCCTGCATTTTTAAAATACTATGCATTTGTAGCGTTCAATATTTGCATATCAAAATGCTTTTGTTCCGAGAATGAGTTTAGAAATATAGTAGCGCAAGAAAGTGGAAAAGAGAACCGTTTTGAAACGGCGCTCTATGTATGCCTCTAACGTATTTTCCCTGGTTGACTTACGGGCAAAACGATTGTCACGGGCAGGACGAACTGTAGACGTCTAACAAGAACCGCGGACCTCGAGGCTGCGCGAAACTAATGTTGCAAGGGAAAAGGAGTTACTTGTCATCCTAACAGTGCCGGAGCTCGAACAGAGTGTTCCTAATCATGTTCAAGGTCTTAACAGAAAACAATCATTGAAAAAAGTTACTATTTGGCTTTCTTTTAATTCCATATGTCGCCCAATTAGTATTGTCCATGTAAGCGGAATTATGCCATGTTTTCTAGAGCGATTTGTTTTATCGTAAAAGTGTAAATAGCATTGTTCCAACTATACACAATTTCGAACTAGAAGTGCAGGAATGGTTCACAATTTCTAAAACAGTATTTATTCTAGGATGATAGCAACCATAGAGTCAGAGAACTATTCCGTAGCGAGAATGAGTGGTTTAAAATACTTAAATCAAAAGCAAAGACATAGAACAGACTACATAGATCAGCGACGTTGAATAGCTTACTCAAATGGTTTTTTTGTGTAGTTATATAAATTTTTGTATGTTTACCAAAACAGAGACCATAACTGGACATACAAGTGTAGCCTCCACCAAAAGCGTCACAGTCTCTGTCATAAAAACAAAAGGAACGTGTTGGTCTTTTATATACTTTTCGAAGTTGCGTCTGAAAATAGAATAAATTTTCGTGCAGCTTTTCGTGCCTAGCCTTTCATGTACCTACCTTGAGAATACGCAAACCATTCTGAGATAGGACTGATCATATTTTTTAGTGTTTTTATATGCACATCCCATGTAGCCAGAAGTTTGGTGAGTAAGCTATAAAGCTCCAGGTTACACCAAATATAAGCGATCGTGACACGAGAAGTTCATTAACTGTTTCGAAAGAGCGTCGGTCATTGAGCCAGTAACTCATTCCTCTTTTCACATGCCTCGGCCATGTCGTATGATTACGGAAATATCTGAAAGTAAAGAAATGGACGTGGAACACTGATAGGACTGATATCCTCACGTTTCGTAGTAAATGGAATGGTATTTGAAGTCAGGCGTTATGCCGTGAACCGCAAGATCTTCCTTATCAAGCAAGCGCGCGGCAACTTGCTCAGCGCCACAGTCGTATACCTGAAAAAAGATGTGGGTAAAAGGTCGGTATTTCGGTACGAAAATGGCTGCTCAAGCTAGGCTTCTGCTGTATCTCAAGTTCTGACAGTAATAATATTTTCTCACGTGCCAACGAATGTACCGACTTTTTAAACACAAAACACCCTTGTTGCTCATTGCCAGAATTTATATTTCGGTAAGGACATTCAAATATCCACTAAAATACATCAGAATATAACTGGTGGGTATTCTTACGTTGGTCCTTTTCAACTCGGCTAGGCAACCGATGTGAAAAGTGATATGTCTTCAGACGGAGAAGCTTAGTGTACCTTTACGACCGTGGGATTACCGCTCTTGGGTCGCTTCTCATTTTATCAAGATTCTTTGAAATGGATTTCTGCGACAATTAGGAGGCAAGTGTAGAATTAGCATTTGTTTTTCTGAATGGCCTTTTAAATTCCTTATTCGTAAACAGTGTGCATTTTCGAAACCTTATTTTTGCAGCTCTATCGCATATTTTATTGAAGCTAGAGATTACGATAAGATTTAACTTGGGTTCATGGTGTAAGTGGAGGTGCTGAGTAATGCCCCACTGGCGAAAATGCAAATCCCGCTCGAGAAAACTACGACCAATATGGGATACCTTCTCTTTGCCCTTGACCTCCTCGATAAATGGCCGAGCTAATCAACAGGATCAAGCGGATTTTTGATATTCAGCCGGATATCCGCCATTATGCCAACCATAACACCGGCCATGCCTTGTTGATAACAGTTCCATGACAAACTTATAAGATACGCACTCAAAGCGCAATTTCCTACCGAAATGATAATCGAAGGACGGTGCTGTTGGGGGTGGAGCTCAAAAAGGAATGGCAAGCTCACTACGCTGCAAACTAGCGCACATTTGGCCACAAAATGCAACCTTTCTCTTCTTTTACCCCTAACTATTGCTTTCACTGGTGCATGTACTCCCACACTGCACGCTCACTAAATCATAATCTCCCGTTTGGAGGTGCTCCAAAAGTCGCGTCACTTGCTGCCACTCTTTGGAGGTTATCATAATTTCAACAAAAAAGAACAACAGCTATCATTCTTTAATTATGTAATAGACCATCACTACTAGTGACTGTTGCTGAAGACGAGGACTTCCCAATTGAGCTTCAAATCTAGAGTCGCACTTTTTCAAACGTGGTCTCTGGTTGTATTGTACATTGTTGATACATTGTCAAACTTTAGACGTGTTGGTCGAAGTTTGCTCATCAGCCTCAGGCGTTGATTACAGGAGAACTAGATTGCTGCAGCGAGGGAGGAGCTACTAGTGTCTGATATCGCGAGCAGCTTCCATACGTGATCAAAACCTTCAGATGGGATGGTAGCTCTATCGCCCCCTTCACATCGATGCCGGACCTTTGTTCTTTGCCTGATTAGCAGGATAAACGGCACAACTTTTCGTAACTGTTTTAGACGGACGTTTGCTCACATGCGCGTGACGGCATGAACAGGATACATTTTGTATACTGGTAGAACATAAGAATTTCTTTGTCGAGGTTCATCAAATTTCTGAGGGTAGATCCCTATGTGCTCAAAACGACTGATCAAGAGCGTAATGACCACAGTGTAACTTAGTTCTGGCGCGAGTAGAATCTTCAAGAGACTAGTATCGAGAGAACTCAAAATCGGTCATGCTCAAACTTCTAGACTAATTTTTCTTCCAAAGGATCGCTGTGCGCCTCCTGTGTGTAGATTACCGTACTATGTCATTTCTGGAGCCGCGTGTGGAATGAAGACAAGGGACATCGCAAAGCAAATGTATCCCTGATTTGCTCGTTTATGGCCGCGTCTTCCAATGTGGTCTTTCAGGGACAAATACGGGAGTTTCGTTCCGCTGCCATATCAACGATAAGGGCTCTCTTAAAGGACGAATTCACGATTAGAATGAAGGTCGAAGAAAGGAGTAATTCACCTAGTTGAGGGACCCGCGGACCTCCTAAGGGTGCGGACTGAAGCGCAATTGGCACCGAAAGAGTTGACCTCGGCGACCTATTAAGGCTCAATCTTGGCGCGGTGGGCCAGTGCACGCCCACCGATCATCTGATCACTCGCCGCAGGTCTATATACAGTGACCAGTATTGTTAGGTGAGAGAAGTCGAAGGTTGAAGAGGTGCACAGGTATGAGAGTCGCATCAATGACTCAAGATATAACAGGGAAGGAAAGGTCTCCATCTTCTCGACCGGTTCTGACGGCATTATCCTCATATTTTCTCCTTTCTTTCGTGTATCCGCGACACTCGAACTCTAGACTCAATTTGAAATGGTGCCTTTTTTCATCGTGTATTCGTCCTTTAAGTAAGAATGGTGCTCTGAATGCTGAACCTTCATGAAGCAGAAATTCCTGAAACCAAAATCTTCACCTAAGGGCACCAAAAATTTTTCTTGCAGCCATGCCTCTGAGTAGCTACGTTATCGGCCCGCCATGCTACGCACGGAAATTTTATACGGTCCCTGCAGAAAATTCCTAGAAGAAAAATGAAGTGATACATGGGATGTGAGAGGGGACCAGGTTTTTTCCATGAAGCGAATCTGACAACTCGTTTATCTTTTAAACCAACTCACTTGGAGCACAACATAACGCATTAGCGAAAGTTCTTGAGAAAGGAGGTCACGGCCCACCTGGTTTCGAAAAGTTAGTTGGTATTTGTTAGCGTACAGTATGTATGCTGATGACTGGTCTGAAGTCAATTTGATGTTCACAAATTCGCACAGAAAATTCTTCCCAGGAGTTTGACCGTGGGCGTCAGGGTCATACAAGGATAAGCGCGGCTTTTCATGATAATGCATTTTAAGTCTACGTTCAAACTAAAAACAAGGCGTGTAGTGGTCGATCACCCTGTATCACCTGTCGTCCCGTTGATCGTCGATTTGCTCGAGCGGGCGCCAGCAACGTCTCCATTCGTCCCTGTCGCGTGCTAGGGTGGTCCAGTGGATCCTCCTTGCTCGAGGGACACGAGTCCATCATTCCTTTCGTTCAGAGCTTTCGTGAAGAAGTCTGACCATCGGGCCGGCGGTCGTCCAGGTGTTCGTTTGACGTCCCGAGGGATCCAGTCGGTAACCGCTCTGGTCCAACGGTCATCGCAAAATCGCATGACGTGTCCGGCCCACCTTATCTTCGATTCCTTGGCGAAAACGGCAGCGTCCCTGATCTTCGATCGTTGGCGTAGTTCCGAACTCCGGATTCCCCTCTGCACTTGCGTGTATAGGGTTACTCCTAGCATCGTCGTCGTTGAATAGCGCTAAAGAGTAATTCCTGAGGGTCACGGAGCGTTGTCTCAGGTGTCTCCCGATGAAAACGTTTTGTTTCCGCTGACGTCATCAGCCTGATGTGTCACCAGTTCTCCATATTATTGGCGTTACGGATGATCCTAATCATGAGTAGAACGTGCGCTTTGGAGAGAGAGTGTGTCACTGTGGAAACTTCAACAAAGAAGCGAAGAAGAGTACCACAGAGTCTGAGCAAAATACGTAAACCATACAGCCCTTGTCTGTTACAGTTCAGAAAGCTTAGAATTTTTTTTTGAATTACAGTGCCGTGCCTTTATTTATGCAAATCAAATCGTTATCGAAGATGCGCGCGCGACCCAAAAAATCTATACTGCGTTAAGAGGCAACTCGGTAGCTTAGTAGGAACCGCACTGTGCCATCCCATGTGTGCAATGTATACATATTTTACCTTATCTGCTAGCAGTTCCATTTCAGTTTGTACTCCCCACACGTGCCATATAACTTTAGTAGGCGCCTTTTACTTCTGTATTCAACGTGATTTAGCGCCCTTTTCAGATTTGTAAATCTACGGTAATACGGACGGGTTCCAAGGGCCCATACGTATTTTCCAACTAGCCATCGCTAGATTGCTATATAACTCATGATCACCTGAAACTAGCACTTTGGGCCATAGTACTACCGTCCCAGAAAAAATTTCAATAACTCTCCGCTTAGCTTTGTTGTATTTTAGATAGCCCTGCCCTTCCCCCTGTGGCGCAGTCGAGATTTACGTACTCACCGAAGCCTTCATTAGTAGTCCGCGACTGTGTGTTCCATGAATAAACATTTTTATTCCAAGTGCTTTTCCACTGCGTGCACGATTGACCTCTTCATAAAGATACGTCCTGACTTTTGCGTTTGGATGGACCAATTTAAAATCGCAATTTCCGTTCACCCCTGAAGACCAAATGAACATATCCAACTTTTTCATCTTGAGCACTGATTCTAAAATTACGACTTACATATTAAACTGATGTTTTTGGGATAGTGATGCGATTGTATTGCGCATACACTGTCGCTAAGCAGAGATCAACCGTCTAATGTAACCGATGTGAGTGAGAGCAAAACAGGCTTGGTTTATAGGAGTCTGTGAAACAGTTTCCGACGTTCAGTATTCATTATGACATCTCAGGTAATTCTTTGTGGGCGAGTTGTAAAGTTAGTTTTGATTCAAAAGTGACGAGAAACTGGAATGTGCATTGGACTATGAAATAGCTCTTGGAAAACATTGGATTCAGAAGTCAATTGTCACAGCAATGTTAAGTTATGGTCAAAACCTTTTGCCCCAGATGGGATTAAAACCGCACCCTTTGTTTTGCGCCTAATTTTTCGTTTAGGCCAATTGATACCTCTTGAAGCTTCCAGCATCAGGGCTCCCTCACGGTTAGTCGGATCATTGTAAGGATGCAGGCTTGAATAGCCTTCGCGTAGTTTTAAGTACTGCACTTATATTGTACCTGTTGAAAGCAGCGAAACTGGCTCCTCAGGGTGGAAAAATCGTCGTCGAGGGGATGGAATCTACCGCCTCCTTAGGCCCCCCCCATCGTACCCCAAGACTCGAAAGCGCCTTTTTATACTCCGCTCTTGGTTTCGTAGACAAAAAAGAAAAAGGAAAGGGAAACAGAAAAATGTTATTTCTTGATGTCGCAGAGGGAGGACATGCGACATACACGAATGCTCCACGGTTCAAATCCGGAACCGCGCTTTGCACGGGCTAGTGTTTTTCGAAGAACTGAATCTGAAAACGGACTAACATTGTTAACCAACTACATTGTTAACCACCTGTAAGGCACTGATAGACGGGTAAAAATAAAAACAGGGAATAGGCCTCTACCAGAGAAGAGCGGGAGTGAAAAGGG